AAATTTTCACGGGGCCGTACGTGTTACTCGCGGGTAAGGGAAAGCTGAATTTGAATGGGCAAGGTTCAGCGTGGGCAGGAGGTCATTACCCTAAAATTTCAGCCTCCTAGATTCCGTAGTTCTTGAGATATTAATTTACCCGTAAAAAACTTTCACGGGGCCCTACAAGTTACCCGCGGTTACGGGAAGGCTGAATTTAAATTTGCCGCGTCACCCGTTGGAGGGGAACACTATACCAAAATTTCAGCCGCTTAGCTTTTGTGGTTCTCGAGATAAAAGTACGGGACAAAATGTGGGACACACACACACACACACACACACACACACAGACAACCCTGTGTCAGTATGCGTTTTGTAACGCTGTTACACAGCACAAAACGCATGAAAAACGCGTTGCATTACCTTGAACGCCCATCTCTGCGCTTCTGGTCCTTTCATCATAGATGACCACTGTCCGAGATATTTTCGTAAAAATTTTACTTGTTACCGAGACTTAACTCTTTTTGTTTTCAGTTATTGTGTGTTTTTTGTTTCACAACAGCTTCACATCACCGTTCAAAAGTGTATTCAACCTGCTGCCGGTGAGGACCTGATCGAGCTGATTTATCAATGCCTGAGGTGGGTGAAATCACTTTAATATCGTTCTTTAGCTATCGAAGCACCTTCGCCATTGTACCTCGTGACAAGCTTATTATTTTTGCTGTTCTTTTTGTTTTTTCTTTAAAAAATATATTTTTGTGCTGTTCGGGGGTAGCCCGTTAATCAACAGTTGGCCATCTTCGCTTTTGTCAAGAAACCAATAGGCCTGGCTGGAGATGCGGAAGAAAGGAATTTGTGAGGGAACGAATCAGTTAAGTCGTGAAAAGTTGCAAAATTTACCAGATTAGGCGATGGGGATGGTTAAATGGATATCATTGTTCAGAGAGGAAACGGCTAAGGTCGGCTATGGCACGATTTGGGTAATGTGAGTGCAAAAAGGAATAATTGACTTTTTTTTGTGCATACACAAATGTTTTTTTAGTTACATTTTTTTTATAGGTTTGATCCGAGGAAACGATGGAATGCAATTGAGGCATTGCAGTGCTCTTATTTTCAATCGGTAAGCAAGGGTTTTGCCTCAAATAACAAGCCGTTTGAAAATCTTGTACTTAAAATACTGGATTATGCCGTAGTTCATATTTCCGTCTAATGGTTTGCTACTTTTCCTATTGCACTGATCAGTGCTTGCATCATCTAGTGGTCAGTTTGCTGGAGAATCTGTCGTTTATTTTTTTTTTTCTGTGAGGAAGGAGGAGGAGGTTTACAAATCTAACGATTCTTTTTGATAGAAGAGCTTTGAATGTCACTCGCAGAAAAAGTGTGAAAAATTGGAGAAGCCGGAAATTTTTGATGAGGAAAAAAATCGAAAATAAACTGCATTTTGTGAAGAACCTGAAAATTACCAGATGATCTCAAATTATGGTAACAAGCCAAAAGCTGAGCTCGAAAAAAAAAATCCGGGTTGGAACGCACCAGACTCTCCGGTGCGATCATGCGTTTTTGCACCAACCTCGCAGACTGCTATTAGCAAGAATGATATCTACGCTGTAGCCTAACACTTGGGCTCATATTGACCGGGCTTTGATCCTTTCCGGCATGCAGGAGGAAAGGCGTCAGTTGGGATGAAGGTGGTGAATTGTAGAGCCGTACGGACATCCAGATCCAATGATTATCGGTTTTTTGCATGAAGTCCGGTCGTTTTTTTGCTCGCTTTGTGAAAAAATGACAAATGCAAATTTTTTGAAAAAATGCAAATCCCCAGTTCACTAAAAAGTAGAGGTATTGCTCGAGCGGTCGTTTATCAAAAAACCCATGTTCATTTACATATGCGGTTGCGGTTCAGGTCCGAGTTGCTAACGATTTTTGGGTTCAGGAGCTGCTTGAGGCTGTGGTGTGGAGCTAGAGGGCCGAGTTAAAAATTATCTCGCACGTGCATAGAGAATACCCCTGCAAAGTTTCAGCTTTCTACGTTGCCTGGTTCGCGA